ACAATTCTGTATCCCCTTGTTCTGTTCAAACAACTGCCTCTTGGTCTATGTACAGTTTTCTCATGAGCATAAATACGTGTTCTGGAATAACCATTTTTTGTAATGTTACCCATAGTTTGTTATGATTCACACAGTCGGATGTCTTTGCATAGTCATTAAAGCTCAAGTAAACATCTTTCTGGTATTCTCTGCTGTCAGTCAACATCCACCTAGCTTCAGCTATGATATTCTTCATTCCAAGTCCTGTAAAACTGGCTTGAATCTCCTTGTTGATGCACTACTGCAACTGTTTTTGAATGATCTTCAGCACAATTTTACTTGCATGTGGTAGTAATGATATTGTTTGATGATTTCCATTTTCTGTTGGGTCACCTTTCTTTGGAATGGGCACAAACATGGATCTCTTCCAATCGATTGGCCAGGTAGCAGTCTTCCAAATTTCTTGGCATATTGCCCTAAGTGAGTACCTCCAGCACTGCATCAGTTTGTTGAAACATTTCTATTTGTGTTCTGTCAATTCCTGGAAACTTGTTTTTTGCCAATGCCTTCAGTGTAGCTTGGACCTCTTCCTTCAATATCATTGGTTCTTGATCATATGGTACCACTTGAAATAGCAGGACACAGGCCAATTGTTTTTGGTACAATGACTCTATTTCTTCTTTCTTCCTTTAATGCTTCCTGTATCCATAGAATCTTTCAATATTGCAAGTCTAGGCTGGATTTTTTTCTTTGGTTCTTTCAGCTTGAGCAATTCTGAGTATGTTCTTCCCTTTTGTTTTTCTACCTTCAAGCCTGTGCATAGTCCATTAGAATACTTCACTTTGTTATCTCAAGCTGCCCTTTGAAATTTTCTCTTTAACTCTTTTAACTTCTTCATTTCTTCCACTTGCTTTACATTGTCTGCGTTCAAGAACAAGTTTGAGTCTCTTCTGACATGCACCTTCATCTTTTCTTTCTTTCCTGTCTTTTTTAAATGACCTTTTGCTTCTTTCCTGTATGATGTTCTTGATGTCATCCCACAACTTCCCTGGTCTTTGGTCGTTAGTGTCTAATGCATCACATCTGTTTTTAATATGTTTTCTAAATTCAGGTGGGTATACTCTGGATCATATTTTGGCTCTCGTTTTAATTTTCTTCAACTCCAACCTGAAGACGCATAGGAACGTTTGATGGTGTAGTCCACAATTGGCCCCTGGTCATGTTTTGGAGGATAATATTGAGCTTTTCCATTATCTCTTCCCACAGAGATAGTGGAATTAATTCCTGTGCACTCCATCTGGTGAGGTCCACATGTATGCTTGTAATTTATGTTGTCAAATACTGAACAACAGTATTTGTGATAAGTCATTGGTCTTGCAAATTTTTAATCATGTAATTTCTAGCATCATTTGTATCACCAAGGCCATCCTTCCTGTTTGTTTCCAGTTTTCACATTCTAATCACCAGTAATTTTCAATGTATCTTGATTGCATGTTTGATGAATTTCATCTGAAGAAGTTGTTGGTGGTGGTAGTTGTGTGCCGTTGAGTTGGTTTCCCCTCACAGTGACCCTGTATAGGGTTTCCGAGACTGTAAATCTTTACTAGAGTAGAAAGTCTCATCTTTCCTCTTTGGAGCGGCTGGTGAATTCAAACTTGGAACTTGTGGTCAGCAGCCCACTATGCCACAAGGGCTCCTTGCAGAAGTTGGTAAAATCCTTCAATTTCATCATCACATGCCTTAATGGTTTGTGTGTACATTTGAATAATAGTGGTGTTAGCTGGTCTTCCTTGTAAATGTATGAATATTATTCTATCACAGACACACTGAGTTGTACATCAAGACAGATCCTGAAATGTTCTTTTTGATGATGAATTTCATGCTATTCCTCTTTAACTTGTCATTCCTGGCATAGTAAATGAGACTGTAAAACTTGACAGGAGGAGAGAGCCTCATCTTTTTCCATGGAGCAGCTGGTGGGCTTGAACAACTGATCTTGTGGTTAGCAGTTCATTGCTTAACCTACTGCACCACATAGGCCTGTCTGATTCAGAATGACCAATGCCAGTCCTTTTCAGCTCACTAACGCCTAGGACATCGATCTTTATGCATTCTACTTCTTTTTTGACAACTTCCAATTTTCCTAGATTCATGCTTCATATATCCCACTTTCTGATTATTAATGGATGTTTGCAGCTGTTTCTCCTCATTTTGAGTTGTGCCCACCAGCAAATGAAGGTCTCGAAAGCTTTGCTCCATCTACATCATTATGGTCCACACTACTTTGAGGAGGCAGCTCTTCCCCAGTCATATTTTTGAGTATCTTCCAACCTGAGGGGCTCACCTTCAGGCACTATTCCACTGCCATTCATAAGGTTTTCAGTGAGTAACCATTCAGAAGTGGTCTGACTCTTCTTCCCAGTCTGTCTTAGTCTGGAAGCTCCACTGGAACCTGTCCACCATGGATGACCCTGCTGGACCTTTAAATACCAGTGGCATAGCTTCAAACATCACAGAAACACACAGGCCACCACAGTACAACAAACTAACATTTGAGTGAAGGGCTAATACGAGTAATATTGACAAATTGGGCAATACTAAGCTAAGCATGATCTCTGCACCTCTCCAGTTTTTAGAAGTTTATCATACTGTCTTTTGTTTACCTGGATCTATTTTTCTTTTTTTTTTTTTTAACTTCTTCCCTAGATTGACAATATGTTTAACGAAATCAAGTTTGGAGAGTATGTGGACACTGGTAAGCTAGTTGAGAAAATAAACTTACCAGATTTCCTCAAAGTTTACATCAATCACCGGCCGCCTTTTGGAAATACCATGAGCGGTATCCAGCACAGCTTTGATGTGTTGGGTTATACCAACTCAGAAGGAAAGAAGGTTATTCAACGAGAAAACTTCCTGAGCTTGCTTCTAACGAAAGGTAAGAACCAAACTGCCGTTGCATCGATTCTAACCCACAGCCACCCTGTAGGACAGAGTAGAACTGTGCCATAGGGTTTCTGAAGCTGTAACTCTCTAAGGTGGCAGACAGCCCCGGCTTTCTCCAGTGGAGGGGGTGATGGGTCAAACTGCCAGCCTTGTGGTTAGCAGCCCAATGCTGAACACACAAAGCCACCAGGGCTCTACCTGCTTCTAAAACAGGTGGGGAACCTTTTTTCTGCCAAAATTTTTAACATCATTCATTGGCCATAAAAAATTATCAACTGGAAAATTAGCCTGCTATATTTGCTCAGACATTTAATTAATTAACTCACCCTAAAGTGATGTCCTGGTGTAGCCCTGTGGGTTAATGCATCAGACTGCAAAGCCGTTTGAACTGCTAGGTCAGTGGTTCAAGCTCACCAGTCGCTCCTCAGAAACCCTATATAGAATCGCTGTGGGTCGGAACCCACTCAACAGCACTTAACAACAACAAAAGTGATGGCTGGAACTGCGGTTACTTTGGAAAGGCCAGAACAAATAATTTCTCAGACCATGGGACAGTTTCCACCTCTGGTCTAAAGGAAAGGAAATGATGAACCAATTCTGAGACCTTGGAATGACAATATTGAGCTCTGACAACATGCTGAGCCACCCTTGCTCAGTGTTCCTTCTTCTTCCTGACACCCAGGTGAGCACATGACGAAGGAGGAGATGTTGGATTGCTTCGCCACGCTGTTTGGAATTAACCCAGAGGGCTGGAAGTCGGAGCCTGCAACCTCCTTTTTCAAAGGTACTGTGGCCACAGTGTCTCACTTGATACTTGTAGACTGAAGTGCATTTCTTTCTTTTGACGGGTGCAAGTCGCTCTCCTTAGTACCACACACACATGACAAAATCAGTCTGTTGGGGATCCCACAGGAGTAAGTTACACAAAGACCTTGGAGCCTTGGTTAGGTGGCAGAGCTCTCTGAAAGCTTTCATTTCTGGGCTCACTGCCTCCTCTGAGTCTTCTGGCCTTGCTTTTCTCTTGTTTCCTGACCTGTTCTTCATCTTGATGGTTTGGGTTGGTGACTATGGCCCACAAGCAAAGGAAAATATTTGGAGATTGTTTCAGAAGAGAAAGGTGAGAAAGGTCCTTAGTCCACCAAAACCCGTTGCCGTTGGGTTGATTCTGACTCCTGGCGAGCATATGTAAGTCAGAGTAGAGCTACTCCTTAGGGCTTTTGAGACTGTGAAACAGTACAAGTGGAGACAGCCTCATCTTTTTCCATGGAGTGGCTGGTGGGTTTGAACCACTGATCTTGTGGTTAGCAGTTCACTGCTGAACCTACTGCACCACATGAGTTTCTTTTAGTTCCCCTTGTTGTTGTTAAGTGCTGTTGCGTCGGTTCTGATCCATAGCAACCCTGCATAGGGTTTCCGAGGAATGGCTTGTGAGCTTGAACTGCTGATCTTGCAGTTCAAACTGACTTTGCAGTCCGGTGCATTAACCCACAGCGCCACATCAGGACTCCTTTAGTTTCCTAGAGGGAGAAAAATGGGCTAGAAGTTAGAGTTATGAATGGAAGTCAGAAAAACCAATCCAACAGAAAGAAATAACCCATCCGCTCTCCAGGCCAGCTCGTGTTGAGGTATCTCCACTGCCCAGCCAGGGGGCACTGCCATGAATCAGAGCTGTATGGTAAGGAATAGAGATTGCAGCCCCTCTTCCTTAGCCCCCTTCTCAAGCAGAACTTCTCCCTCTCCTTTTGAAGCCCTTCTCCAATTTCCACCTAAACAAACCTCCAGAAACTCCAGTTGACCTAAATTCTACCAGATACGGCATTTCCAACTTGCAACTGTTTCAGGCTCCCCCAACCCATCCCTTTGTGTTCTTCAGATCTCAGAATGTTTCCAACTGCTATATATTTATTCTGTGTTCTGAAGTCTCTCAGGGCAGTAAAATCAGTGATACCCGGGTAGTTACAGCTGATGGGGGCAGTGCTGGCTCCGTGATAGAATTTTTGCCTTCCACAGAGGAGACCCAGGTTCTATTCCCAGCCGAGGCAACTCATGCGCAAACCACCACCTACCCACCATTGGAGGTTTGTGTGCTACTATAATGTTGAACAGGTTTCAGTAAAGCACCCACACTAACGGACTGGGAAAGGCCTGGTGAGCGACTTCCAATAAGAAGGAAAACCAACGGATCACAACTGTGTGCTCTGCAGCTGATCTTGGGGATGGTACAGACTGGGCAACATTTTGTTTCTTTGTGCTCAGGGTAGCCATGAGTCAGGGGCCAACGCCATGGCAGCTCACAGTAAAAACAGTTCAGGCCTTTGGATGTGATCTACAAAGATTTGGTCAACAGGCCTTACATCAGTAAAGGAGGGACTTTAACCAATTCCTACCCAAGGGCTTTTAAGGAATCAGAGCCAAACCATAGCACAAAACACCTTTCACTATTTTTTAGTATTGTTTCCTTGCTTTTTTAGAAATGTAATCTTTTTGAAGGCAATTGGTTTTCTTTTTCTTGTTTGGCTAGGTATAGAGATTTCCCTTGAAGAACTCCCTGACGAAATCACAGCAGAAACATTCGTGACTGAAATTCTTGGCTTAACCATTTCAGAAGTTTCCAAACAAGATCTTAGGGTCAGTCAGTGAAGTGTAAGGAATGTTGGTAGTACAAAGGACTGTGTGTGCGGGTTTTTTTCCTAAGAGGCACTGTTTTCCCTGTAATTCTCAATCCCTACTCTGTCACCTTTTGATTTTGTTGGCATTAAAATGTTAAGCGATGGAATTCACCAAGCCGAACTTTCCACTGTTTCTGAAACAGAGAAGTGGGTAGAGGCAAGAAAAACACTGACAGCTGATGTCAGTGTGTCTGGATACCTCAGTCTGTCTGCAGGGCCCAGGGTAATGGGGTGCTCTAAAGGAGAGCCTGAAACAGGTGGTCTGGTCTCTGGGGACAACGACAACATCAGCCAGCAGTCTCGTGACATGTGCACCCCTGGAAAGTGGAGGTCAGTTGGCCCCTTCCTTCCTCTTCCCCCAGAGACGCTCCCGCACCTTGGCGTAATGTATGGAAATGGAAACTCCCTAGTGCCAGTTGTTAGCTGGGGACGGGGTTCTAGGGCTGCTGGGCTCCTGAAAGTCCTTGATTGTGGCTTCTTATTAGCAAAGTCCCCAAACAGCTACGTGGAGCATTGTAAAGAGCATTGCTGGCCATGCTTAACCCACCGTGGCAGCTGCAGATGAGAACACAGATAGCACGCTTGGACCCTGGTTATACTGCACCTGGACCGGAAACCGCACTCCGCACCGCTGGACAGGACGCTCCTGTGCACACACACCACACACTCTACTGGGCTTAGAAACAGACAGCTCCCCACTCTCAGGACATTAAAAAGAAACAGAAAACAACATGTGTTGTTGTTAAGTGCTGTTGAGTCGGTCCAGACCCATAGCGACCCTGTATTGGGGTTTTAAGGAGTGGCTAAGGAGCTCTGTTAGCGTAGTGGTTATGAATCATGCTCCGAACCTTAAGGTCAGCAGTTCGAAACTGCCAGCCACTCCGCGGGAGAAAGAGGAGGCTTTCTACTCCCGTAAAGATTTACACCCTTGGAAACCCTGTACAGGGTCACTATGGGTCGGAACCGACTCGACAGCACTTAACAACAACAACAGCTGATCTCGAACCACTGCCCGTGTGGATCAAACCGACTTTTCAGCCCAGCACATTAACCCACAATGCCACACCAGAACATTATGTGGAATTAATTGAGGCTCATAGCTACCTATAAGACAAAATAGAACTCTATTCCATAGGGTTTCCTAGACTGTGATTTTTATGAGAGCAGATAGCCAAGAGTTTTCTTCCACAGAGCGGCTGGTGGGTTTGAACCACTGATCTTTCAGTTAGCAGTAGAGTTCTTAACCACTGTACCACAAGGACTTATTTTCACACTGTAGGATAAGGACTTGACCACAAAATCAGTTTGAACCATAAGGTCCACGGTTCAAACACACCAGCTCTCCTCACAAACCCTACACAGGGTCGCTATGAGACAAAAACCAACTCGACAGACTTAACAACAACAACAGCAACATATCCAAGTTTACAGCAGTATTTTGGCCTTGAAAATAGAGCACATTTTAGTGTAAACAGATGGACATTATTGTCTAATTCTAGAGTTTTGTCATCAGTTACGGGATCTTGTTCAGGCAAATGCACCAAATGCTATTCTCCACATGCTTGTTCCAACACACCCTCCCAGCCCAACCAGGTTCTCCTCCAAAGAAGCTCCCATAAGAGAGACCATTTCTGATTCACTTAGTTACTGCCTCCTGTGGAGCAGAGATCAGTGGAAGAGACATGGAATCGCAGCAACATCCTCATTCATGCACAAGTCTCCCCCAGCATGCTGTGCGGCTGGAACCTGGCACGGTCAGTGTCTTTGGAACAGAACCACCTACTCAGAAATGGTCTGTGTTGCTCTAACTGTGGCCAGACGGCCCAGCCAGGGCTCCACAGGCTTGGCGACCACATTTGCATCTTATTCTTTTTAAAAACACAAAAAGAAAAGAAAGACAAGTTTATGAGAATCAATTTTGCAGCTGCTTAGGGCTTAGGAGCTCTAGTACCAAGCCAGTTAAAAAGATCCTGGAGACACTTTCGGAAACAGAAAATTCTCAAGTGACTTGTCATCCTCTCAAGAAACAAGTCAGAAATGAATGTCGTCTGAAAGCCCTGCTGAGGCTTCATTCCTGAGGTCTGGCACATTCTGATGTTCTTATCTATGACACGTGTTTGAATAACTGTCTTTAACAGATGCGACTAGCGACTGACTGGACCCACCACAGTTGGCCAGTCCCTGGGACCACGGTCACACCCACCTTAGGTTGTTCTCTCTGTCCTAGCCAACTTCCATGGTACAGGGGGGGTGGATCTTGGCTATGCACACTCATTCAGGAAGACCAAGCCAGGCACAGCTGGTGAGGCCTGTTTTCTCCTGGGGAATCCCTTCCTGCAGGTGCTTTTGTTTCAAGGTCTCTTGAGCTGCTGGACGTGGGCAAAAGAGAACAACAAAGGTGCACCTGTCAGCCCCAGGAGGGTGGGAGGGAGAGGCAGGTGTCTGTGCCCAGTCCAGAGATGGCGGGGGAGCAGCCTTCCCAGCTGGCACTGTAAGTAGAGGGGAAGCAACACAGTTCCAGCTGAGAGGGAGTGAGAAGAGGCAGAAGACATTGTCACTGGACTTGCACCTCAGGACTTAGGGACGGAATTCTTATCACAAGAATCACGTCATGCCGTACTTGTGAAGTAAAGACTACGATTTCAGATGGGACCTCTGGTGAGCTAACCAAATTCACCCTGATTTCGTGCTTCTAGCTGTCAGAATAAGAGTGGTCTTGTAGGAACCCAGCCCTCCCAAGCCAGACCCCTACCGTGTCTAATGGACTTGTCAGTTCCTGCTATCTCATAGCTACCTGTGTGGTTTTGGATGTGGCTAAAATCTTAATCCTTACCTTTGTCCTAGAACTTTTACTGGAATGGTTGTGAGGGATAAAAAAGAGAGCTCAAGGATCACATCGCCAACATAGGAAACCCCCCAAAGTATAACAGTGACTAGATCTGTCACAACCAGAAGACATACTGTGCCCAAGAGCTGGGAGATAGTTCAGGAGAAGATAGGTCTCACCACCCAGAGACCTGGCCTGGGTTAGCCTTGTCCTATAAACAGAAATTTTAAAAAGCTTATCCTACATTAGTCCCTTGACAGATATATGTTGAATGAACTGAAGGAATGAGCTTGAAGCTTCAATGCTCTTTTAATAGTGAACACCAGGTCCTCACGGGCCCTCTACGTCTGGGGCAGACAAGACATTCTTCATGAAGGGCCATAGAACAAATATTTCAGGTGCTGCGGGACTTATGGTCTTGGTTGCAGCTCCTCACAGCTGATGTTATGAGCAAAAAAACCCATTAGAATGCATGTAAACAAGTAACCACAGACATGTTCTGGTCAAACTTAGTTTATGAACATCATATTTGGATTTCATAATAATGTTCATGTGACAGTGGTGGTGGTGGATGTGTGCCATCGAGATGGTTCTAACTCACAGCGACCCTGTGTAAGGTTTCCAAGGCTGTAAATCTTTATGGGAGTAGAAATCCTTATCTTTCTCCTGAATGTTCATCTATCATGGAATATTCTTAATGTTGCAATTGTTTCCAACCACTCAAAAATGCAAAAGCTGTTCTTGTTCACAGGCCATGTTTTGCCCAACAGGCTCTAGTTTGCCGGCCCCTGTTCTAGAACACAGGAAGCCCTGGTGTCACAGAGGGTTACTCATTGGCATGCTAACCACAGGGTCAGCAATTTGAACCCTCCAGCCGCTCTGCAGGGAGAAGATGAGGCTGTGTGCTTCAGTAAAGATGGACAGCCTCGGAAACTGTCCGGAACAACTCTCCTCGGTCCCTATAGGTCGGAATTGACTCACTGGCAATGGGTTTTAGTGGGTTTGCTCCAGAGCACAGGCCACAGATACTTATTACAACAGATGTTTACAAAGGAAAAGAATTTATACAAAATACCTGAGCAGGCGTCTTCAATAATGTCCCAATCATGACAAACAAGGAGAAGCTGAGAGGAGATGAAGGCACTGTGACAACAAAATGCAATATGAGATCCTGGATGGGGCCCTGGGACAAAGAAAGGCCATTAGTGATAAAACTGGGGACATTCTACTAATGTTTGGACTTTGGTCCACAGTGTTACTCTGGCACTGATTCCTTTGTTTTGCTAAGTGGGCCACAGTTCTGTAATGTGTTAATAACAGGGGAGATGACACCATGGTTGGTAGTGTCCACCAAAATGAGGGCTAGCCTGCATGAGATGGACTGACACAGGACTCACGGTGACAGACTCCATGCTAACCATCATGAACCTGGTGAAGGACCCAGTGGTCCTTTCTGTTGGACATGAGGTGACTGTGAGGCAGAGCCAAGTGGGTAGCCGCTAATATTAGGGGAAGCTGGACGAGGGGCATATGTGAAGTCTTACCATTTCCACTGTCTAACAGCTCTAGTGTAAACCTAAAATAATTTCAAAATAAAAAAGCTTTTAATAACTGAATTCCTGAGTCAATTCTCTGAATTTGTGCAGTGATCCCTCAGACAACCCCGAAATGATCATTCATAGGAAACGTTGTAAGGACCCTAGTGCATTTAGTGACAAATTCTGGCAACTTAGGCAGGACAGTAACCCTTGAAGCTCTAGTGAGAACTTTCTTCTTCTTCCTTACTGGTCCTATACCAATGAATGATAATAAAAAAACAAAGTTCTGTGGACATTCCTTCATAGAAGAAGTAGTACTCACACGCTCCATGTGGATTTATCATTTAAAATATCCTTCAACTGCTTCAAGGGAAAAGATGGCAAACTAGGCAGAATGGCTGTGTGGGCTCTCTGCAGCGAGGATACAGAAAACCAGATGAGACAGATGAGAAAGAGAGGACTGTCCTGGAATTCTGAACTCTGAAGGGATCAAAAAGTGGATCGAGTGCTTACTGGGAGGGAGAGCTGAATAGACGTGACAAGAGATAGGGTGATTGATGAGCAGCAGCAGCTGATGGACCCTGTGACGGCCATTTTGAAAGTTTGTGACTGGATTTAGAGACAAGACAGAGCAGCTGTGGGCTCTAGGCCCATGGACTGAGTAAGGCTGTGTGCTTACGGGCAGAAGACTAGCTTACAGAATGTGCCCTTTAGACATTTCAATGAATATATATTTTTTGTATGTGTACATTAAATATTTTTGCTTTGTTCTTTTGTGAAATACAAGATGTAAATGGGGAGCCACAGGGAGGAAATAGGAGAACTGTTGTTGCAGGGAAGGGATTGTAATCATTGAGATGAAACAAAGTGTATGATTTGTGGAAGGTAAAGCTGATGATCTTGTCTGTAAACCTTCACTCAATTCATAATAAAAAGTTAAAAACAGAAATCCAGGAGAAAAATGTGGAATAGAACTACATTCCTAAAAGAACGAATAACAGCCTTAATGAACCAGTTGAGA